GCTGCGTCCTAACAAAGGGTTAAAGACTTAGAAGCATTGTATGTTAATGAGAGGCTGCTCAGTCTGTCCCTCAAATTATCCCTCTACTTTCCTACTTCTCCGGGCTGGGAGACTGCCCCATAGAAGTCTGTGGAGCTGTAATGTGCAGGTGTGGCCACAAGACGGAGGACTGAAACGTTGGATAAAAACAGCAGCAGAGCCATGCCCATCAGATCTCGGTAAGTACAGATCTGTGGATGGGGAGGGTGGGATGATTTAGGCCAAGGGTGGGGAAAAAAAGGATGAGTGGTAAAATAAAAGAGAGAATGGTGGTTGCAAATTGCTGGAAACAATGTGCTTGGTGATATAATAATTGAGTGGGTAGCAAAAACAATCCACGATGAACTGGACTTTTAACTTCACTGTGTGTACAGTAAGATAATAGGATGTTTCTTGGAATTAGAGATAAATTGGATCTATAGCAGGTGCCCAGGACCTGACTGCACGGAGAACGGCTGTCAATTATGACTGACAGTTTATCTCTGTGTAATTGCATGTGCTGGACTTCCTGCCGGGCACTTCGCTGACTCGCTGTACATTACTAGGCAGCATCAGTACACATATGCGTTGTGCTTGTACTAAAGACTTCATGAGAAAAAAGGAAACATTTTAAGGAGCCAAACTTAGTCATGCATTCTGATTAATTCTTTGCCACTAACCTTCTATGGAGATTGTGACCGGATTCCTGTTGTAAAGCCTTTTCACTGCTGGTCGGTTTCTTGTTATTGTGCAATTTTGTGCGAACTGTATTATCTGAAAAGAGAAAACATTTAAGTGAAATAAGTAAATGGTAATATTATCTATTTCATTCTGCATTCTGCAAGTGTTACCATGAATAAGTCCAGAGGTCCCTCATTTTTCTCACCTCATGAGGATAATAAAAGTATAACAAGTGATAAGGCCAACAGAAAGCTATAAAAAGCAAGTTATAATCATAGTTTTAAACTCCTCTGTAAAATTAAAGGAACTCGTCATGACAAAATAACAGAGGCTGTCATTGATGAACTCTCCCTTTGAGAGTGATAGTTCCCTGGCTGTCATGCTGATGCTCTGGCTTCAGTGCTGTCTGAGTTGCTAGCCCAGAGCAGGTATAGAGAGCTTTAAAGGTTTCCTGATGCTCATTTACAGCAAACTTGTTCTGTGTCTTTGACTCGAAAATACTCAAGTCAGACACAGCCAGGTAACCAGCAATTTCAAGAGGAGGCCAGCAAATGGCAGCAGCTGCGCTTTTCTCATGACAGAGTCACTTTAAAGTGTATTTCCACTTTTGCAGCCAAATTGGGATAACACCTACTTTACAATTGTAACATGATCACATTCACATATCAGCTGTTTACATTGTGTGACACTAAACTCAGGCGTTAAACCTTAAAAATACATTCAAGTATCTTAACTGGTAATAAAACATGACATGTATGAAGCCGCCTCTCACCACCATTAACACAGCAGTTTTTGTTTTTCTAAGCCCCACAATATTTTTCCATTTTCTGTAATAGGATGACAACTCTGTTCATTGTGCAGTGAAATCACACACCAATGTTGCCACCCTGCGGACAGGGTAGTTTTAGGTGGAATTGAAGGTGTGGATGGATTTCAAGTCATAGACAAATTAAAGCAAAACACTTTTAAAGCAGTAACAGCAACTTTATTCTTTTTTGGAAAAAAGGTTTAAGCCATAGAAGTAAAAGCTGATGGCTGTAAGAACCCTATCTGCAGAGTTCATCTCAACGCTGTTGATCTGTTGAAGGGCATTAAAGAGAAATGTTGCTCTTATCTTTAAAATGACAACAAAGACGCCTTTGGAAATGTTTAGTAATGACAATCTATAAACAGATACTTATAGATAATTGCCGGCTTTCTATTCTTTGCATCCTTTATTTTTATTTACCTTCCCCTATTCTTCTCACAGTGGCCATTTTTACTAAGGGCAGATGAATCCATCTCCCTTTACTTCCTGGAACTTTGGCACATGTGACCATGCTCATCATCTCAGGGGGAAAAAATGCGTTTCCATGAGATTTCAGATGAGATTTCCCAGAAATGCAATGCTGATGTAACCTTCCCAGGATGCATGTGTTAGGCATGGGCTACATCTAACCTAACTGATCCCCCAAGAATAGTTGTAACAGACTGTCTAAAGGTGCCTCATAGACATTAGATTGCTGTCAGTTCCAACTATAAATGGCCAGATCATTAGATATCTGAAGCCTATGTACACCTGTTAATAGACGTGTCAGCATAAGATAATTCCATGGACACCAGTCTAAGTAAATCGCTGACAATGACTCAGTATACATAATCTCCCACCAATAAATTACCTTTTGCGGCCTTTAACTGTTTACTCTTTTCCTTTTCATAATCCTTTAGAATTTGCTCCGTGATTTGATAATAGCTTTGAACCAGATTGTTCACATTACTGCTTGTGATGTACACGCTCTCCACTGCAGCTTCCAGCAGACGCTCCTGTCATCCGAAGTTAGAAAAATTAAATATAGAAAACAACCTGCGAATAGTAGGAGATGGGAGAAGCAAAGCAGAGAATTCCCTCCAATACTCAGTCTGAGGTAAGAAACCTTGATTTAATTTTGTCCAAATACAAATACACCATCTGGACTGCGTTCAATTATTTATTTCCACCATCCAGAGTGGGTTCCGTGCCAAAAATAGAACACCACAGGCCTTTTGACATCTGGAGTGATCTGGAAGATGTTTACATGCATGTCAAGGTGATTCATGCTCACCTTCATCATTACAGTATTAATCTGTCAAAAAGAGGTATTGCCTATTGAATTTGCAGAGAAATTAGGAATATAATCCCCTTAACAGGCCAGTTTCATGCATAAACAACTGTCTTTTTTTTTTTAGTTACCAAATGCGGGTAAAGCATATCACCACCTGTCTGATGTCTAATGTGGTAATTCAGGGCAATTAAGTGATTATAAACAGATTTCAATCAGGAACAGTGCAAAAGTATGGTCACCACATCACAGGAAGCTGCATTAATCCGTCTTCACTGGCAGGATCAGCAGGCCTGTAGCATCATTTGGAGTCACAATAGTGCTGACATTGAACAAACTTTATTTACTTGAACAGTAAATAAATACAAACCTTGTTCTGTGGATTCATCACCATTAGAGATACATCATGAGGGGTTCCTAAACCTCAGTATCCAATAACTTTGGGATTTCTTCCTCATACACTCAGAGCAGCCAGTAGTTGCAACTCTTGTCTGGCGGTATGGCCAAGTGAAGCGCCAAATTCAAGCAACATTGAAATAGACAAAGGTTGTTAAGCTATTTCAGATGCTGATTAAATTACAGTGGATACTGCTCCTTGATGTTTAAACGTTTCCAGCAGAATCATCTAGTCCCCTGACATCCTATTTTAGGGTGGCTCCTTTCCCTTGCAGGGTCCTGTGGATCCACCCTTGTGTGTGCTAGCAAGCTGTGTCTGTGTGTTTTTACAAAGCACACAAACACAGCAAGGCAAGCCAATCCCCTTTCCCCTGTTTCTCCATCCTCCCTCCTCCTTCTCCAAACTAGTACAATGGTACCTCGGTTCACGAACTTAATTCGTTCCACGTTTCTGGTTGCAAAACGAATTGGTTGCAAATCGAATCAAATTTCCCCATAAGGTTCTTTTTTCCACCATGCTTGCTCTGCACTTTCTTTGGAGCCATGCTGGATTGAATAATACTGTACAGTACTGTATGTGCTAAAAAGCACACAAAAAAAGCTTCACAGCAAGTGTGCATAGGTCTGTCTGTGACCGTGATCTCGACTAGAGGAAGCCACAACCATGTGTCAGAGCGGGGAAGACGGCCGTGGTCGTGTTCGTCACTCGATGTGGAGTTCGTGAACGGAAACAAGACTTTGCCCAACTTTCTGTTCGCGAACCGAATTGTTCACGAACAGAAGCGTTCGTGCACCGAGGTATTACTGTATATGGACATCTGCTGGAGACCGTCCTGTCCCTTGTGATCTTGTACTGGGCAGGAAGTTCAGGGAATCTGAGCTGAGAGAAATTAAGCCAGCTGTTTGGAAACATGATGACTGTAAGTGATTTGGCCAAAAGCGAAAGAAATACTTTGCTGGGCAATTTTTATCTGGACTCAATCCTGAAAAATAAGTTTGAGAGTTTAAGCTACTTGAAGTTCTTATTTACGACACTTTAGTATTGAGACACTATGCTTGTGACAAATGCAACAATAAATACCATTGTAATACAAAGAAAGAGGTGCTAAACCAATTCAATTTTGGAGTAAATATGTCTCTCGGTGTAAAGTGGTGATAACGGCGACAGTCCTGTAAGAGTAGCGACAAATTCAAAAACATGTTTCCATCATGTACATGAATTTGCTGCACGCAACGCCATTTGTCACACAGACGTGTGATGGAACTCGGAAAAGTGGCTGCTGCACTCCTCATGTATTCCACTCAATGTGCTTCATGTCAAATAGAAGTTGGTAATCTATGAAGAGAAGTCAAGCATAGAACAGCCAGTAGTGTGCGAGGGGAAGTGATTATAGTGTGTTCATCAGTACCGAAAACACCATCCCATACAAAGATCTCTATGGCTCTATGGAGAAAGTTGAGTTTACTAAATTATAAAAGTAATGGACATAACATATCACTTAGAAAAGTGTTCTCAGCCTGCCACAGCCCCATTAATGCCGCCAGTACAGTGTTTATGGAAAGCAATAATCTGTCAAAAAGAGGTATTGCCTATTGAATTTGCAGAGAAATTAGGAATATAATCCCCTTAACAGGCCAGTTTCATGCATAAACAACTGTCTTTTTTTTTTTAGTTCCAAAATGCGGGTAAAGCATACACCCACCATTTTAGTTACCAAATGCGGGTAAAGCATATCACCACCTGTCTGATGTCTAATGTGGTAATTCAGGGCAATTAAGTGATTATAAACAGATTTCAATCAGGAACAGTGCAAAAGTATGGTCACCACATCACAGGAAGCTGCATTAATCCGTCTTCACTGGCAGGATCAGCAGGCCTGTAGCATCATTTGGAGTCACAATAGTGCTGACATTGAACAAACTTTATTTACTTGAACAGTAAATAAATACAAACCTTGTTCTGTGGATTCATCACCATTAGAGATACATCATGAGGGGTTCCTAAACCTCAGTATCCAATAACTTTGGGATTTCTTCCTCATACACTCAGAGCAGCCAGTAGTTGCAACTCTTGTCTGGCGGTATGGCCAAGTGAAGCGCCAAATTCAAGCAACATTGAAATAGACAAAGGTTGTTAAGCTATTTCAGATGCTGATTAAATTACAGTGGATACTGCTCCTTGATGTTTAAACGTTTCCAGCAGAATCATCTAGTCCCCTGACATCCTATTTTAGGGTGGCTCCTTTCCCTTGCAGGGTCCTGTGGATCCACCCTTGTGTGTGCTAGCAAGCTGTGTCTGTGTGTTTTTACAAAGCACACAAACACAGCAAGGCAAGCCAATCCCCTTTCCCCTGTTTCTCCATCCTCCCTCCTCCTTCTCCAAACTAGTACAATGGTACCTCGGTTCACGAACTTAATTCGTTCCACGTTTCTGGTTGCAAAACGAATTGGTTGCAAATCGAATCAAATTTCCCCATAAGGTTCTTTTTTCCACCATGCTTGCTCTGCACTTTCTTTGGAGCCATGCTGGATTGAATAATACTGTACAGTACTGTATGTGCTAAAAAGCACACAAAAAAAGCTTCACAGCAAGTGTGCATAGGTCTGTCTGTGACCGTGATCTCGACTAGAGGAAGCCACAACCATGTGTCAGAGCGGGGAAGACGGCCGTGGTCGTGTTCGTCACTCGATGTGGAGTTCGTGAACGGAAACAAGACTTTGCCCAACTTTCTGTTCGCGAACCGAATTGTTCACGAACAGAAGCGTTCGTGCACCGAGGTATTACTGTATATGGACATCTGCTGGAGACCGTCCTGTCCCTTGTGATCTTGTACTGGGCAGGAAGTTCAGGGAATCTGAGCTGAGAGAAATTAAGCCAGCTGTTTGGAAACATGATGACTGTAAGTGATTTGGCCAAAAGCGAAAGAAATACTTTGCTGGGCAATTTTTATCTGGACTCAATCCTGAAAAATAAGTTTGAGAGTTTAAGCTACTTGAAGTTCTTATTTACGACACTTTAGTATTGAGACACTATGCTTGTGACAAATGCAACAATAAATACCATTGTAATACAAAGAAAGAGGTGCTAAACCAATTCAATTTTGGAGTAAATATGTCTCTCGGTGTAAAGTGGTGATAACGGCGACAGTCCTGTAAGAGTAGCGACAAATTCAAAAACATGTTTCCATCATGTACATGAATTTGCTGCACGCAACGCCATTTGTCACACAGACGTGTGATGGAACTCGGAAAAGTGGCTGCTGCACTCCTCATGTATTCCACTCAATGTGCTTCATGTCAAATAGAAGTTGGTAATCTATGAAGAGAAGTCAAGCATAGAACAGCCAGTAGTGTGCGAGGGGAAGTGATTATAGTGTGTTCATCAGTACCGAAAACACCATCCCATACAAAGATCTCTATGGCTCTATGGAGAAAGTTGAGTTTACTAAATTATAAAAGTAATGGACATAACATATCACTTAGAAAAGTGTTCTCAGCCTGCCACAGCCCCATTAATGCCGCCAGTACAGTGTTTATGGAAAGCAAGAAGTAAAGCATCACCTTGAATTCACTGTTCTCTTCTATCATGCTCTTGGCAGCCTCTTGCTGTGCATGGTGTATCAGGCTCTGCCCTATGGCACGCTCCATGTGCTGGCGAATGCCATGATTGGCTTCTGTCAAGTCTAAAAGAAGTTGCTGCTGGAAGTCACTGCGTGCCTGCCAGGTTTCCTCCTCCAGCTTGCTTTCCTCCTCTGAGATATGAGCTTCCTGTTCAAAGAAGCAAGAGATATTTATTATAACAAATAGCTGTCATTTACAGAAAGCAGCGGTCCTACCCTTTTGTTCTATACTTTTCTCCTAGATCATTCAATCGCAGCATCCTATAAAACCCACTTACACTGTTTTATCTACGACTATCTTTTCTTAGTGTTCTATGTTATTTTTCTGCTTTGTCCTACCCTCAGAATCTACAACCTACACTATGCCATCTTATTTTTTTGTCATATAGGATATCATCTCTAGCAGCCTGTCCTGAAAGAAGAAGGTGCAGACCCTGAATGTCACCTGAATGATGATGCAGAAGTGTACATGAATAAAAAGGAGAGACCACTCCCCAGCATCCATACTGCTAACTCTGGGATTAGGATGCACTGCTTAGAAGTGGCCACGTTTAGGGATCCTACCAAAGGACCCTCGAACGTCAGATGATTTGACTGTAAGGTTTTTTTTTAAAAATGTGAATGCAATACCAGTTTGTGTTATAAATTATTCGCTACACAATGCTGATGCACGGCACTTTTCTCCATGTATCCTGCTTTCTGCTTTTGAGTGCTACACAATTGCTTTGCTTTACAATACAAATCTATGACTCTTGAAATCCCATTAAGAAATGGAGGAGTAGTTGCTCTGTGGCTCCCTCTAGAGCAGTGATGGCGAACCTTGGCACTCCAGCTGTTTTGGAACTACAAGTCCCATGAGGCATTGCAAGGCTCTGACAGCCACAGACATAACTCCCAGAGGCAGATGCATGTTGGGATTTGCAGTTTTGGCACAGCTGGAGTGCCAAGGTATGTGTATGCTGCTAGAAAGGGGTGGGGGATTAAAGTCAACCTATCGCTTTGCCCTGAATAGCCAATACACAGGTTTGGGTTATGGCAAACAATGCAATAGTAACTCAAACTGCAGTTCATATTCCCTGGTTAGTTCACTCTGAAGAGTCAGCTGTCAATTAGATTAATCAAGCAATAATTAGGGGGCATTAAAGGGTTAAACTGAGTGAAGTGGATCTTTCCTTGTCTTGCACTGTCCTAAGTGGCACAATTGACGTCATAGCGCCGTAATTAAAAAGATGCAGCAATGTAGGCTTACCATCTCGCTCTGGGTTTGCCACTGCTCCTCGTCCTGTAAGTGCCACTTGCCCTTTTCCAAGGCATGTTGCTCCTTCAGCTCTTGAACAATGACAATCTTTCTGGACATCCTCATCTGTGTCAGGGTTGCCATAGTAATATTTCGCAGGGAGAGCGTACGCATCACAGATCTCAACAAAAACTTGTGTCTCTGTACTGCAAGTCTGTGGGACCTGGCATAAGACAAGATGGAGTTACAATACAGTTTGTTGCAGATCCAAATGGCATGGAAAGCATAAGAAACAGAAAACCTTTTTGCAATTAACGGCTGCACAAATATGACTATTTTGAGGAAGGTTTTATTTGAGGAATTTATTTCTAGAGATACACTTACTGTATAAAAGGTAAATTGTCCTGATGTAAATCACCTTATCAGGGCATGATGATGGTTTAAAATGTTTGATTCTGCATATGCTGCCATATTCATAAAAGGGTGCTAATTCTTAACCAAGAGCAACCAATCAAAACCCATTATGGTCTGACTTGAGCAGAATAAATTCTGATTAACTGCAATCAGGAATTTGCCACACAAATAGTTGCAAATCAACCTGCCCCTTGTTCAGTAAACACATTAAAATGCATGTATTAAAAAGCATGCAAACACAATGCATAAAAACACGTCAATGCGCATGCATGTGCAATGTAAGGCCTCATGCACACCATCCTCAATTGTGGCCGGAACGCACTGGATTGCATTGAGTTTGGCTCAGTTAGTTGTGGGGCGTGAGGGGGTGTGGCGGTGCGTTGAACTGAATGGCACTACAGCCACGTCGTCCGGCCGCAATGCGATCGGTCGCACGGGAACGCAAGGCAGCATTTTTTGGGGACCGGACCCTATAACAAACTAAGCCAGCCGCAATGCGATCCAGTGCGTTCCGGCCACAATGGGGTCGGAACGCACTGAGGATGGTGTGAACAAGGCCTAAAAGTAAACGTAGTGTGACCATCTGACTCTTAGGGGAACTTAGGCACAGAGCGCTGTCAGATTAGTCAAGAAATGACTTCTAATTGTTTGCTATGCCAAACACTTCTCACCATTACTCTTTAAGGCTGTATCCCAGGCAAACAGCTAAATACACAGACAAAATACATATAAAAGGAGCATTTTTACTTGCCAAAGGATTTGTATTTCTGTCCATTCGGTCCAGAGATTCACACAACTCTTCCACAGCCCCGTCTTCCAGGGCAGGACATGTGATTTTCCTTGCTGCAGTACAGGAACACTTTCTCCTCCCCACCCCCCAGCCTATAACTGGACTGCTAAAGGAGAAACAGTACAATGCTCAATTTACGGTCACTCTGCTCTCTCCTCTTATCAGCATGTTCTTTGCACCACAACACAACTGATTGGCTCTTTATGCTCCTGCAGTCTGGAATTTCAAGAGGCTGATAGCAAGTCGGATTCAGGTACTTGCACTACTTGCATTTTAAAAATACATTTGAGGATGTATTAATGAATACAGGGGGGTCTTTTTTTTTATTTGCCTGGTGTTCAGCTTTAATATGAGATAGGCATTAGACTATTATTTCTTTAAGGATCACTTACTCCTCGCTGAGGCCACTTAACCGATCTAACACCTCTCTGGTGATCTGCTGCTGTGTCTCACATACATACTTATCAAGCATGGCTGACAGCGCTTGCTCTCGTGCCCACAACTGCAACAAGAAAGGAATAGAAATCAATAGACAAAAATACTTAATCTCGCATAACCAAAATAAATGAAAGCATTTTTGTTAGGTTAGGTTCTGGCAATGATGAAACCAATCAACTCACCTTAACCTTCATCTACTATAAAAACAATAAGCTGAATGTTTATGGCACATTGGGGCTAATGTACCAACATGTCGGCATGAAAGGCAATGAAGACTTCTTTTCTACATATACTAATTTCTTTATTTGTTATGTTCACAAATTTAAAAACATATTTTAAAATCCATTTGAAGTATTTTAGAAAATTGCACCCACCATTAGAGTGTGCACCAAAATAACAGGTTTTCAATGCTCCACTGCTACTAATGCAGGCTGTCCCTTGCTACTAGCCTGCAGCTTAGGACTGATGTTCTCTATATAAAAAGAGAAGTCGTGCAGCAGAGGTCGAACATGTTCCCGGATGAGTCAGACCAATATCTCAGCAATCACAAGTCAATTGCAGAGGCGGTAGATTTAGTGGTTGTAAGAAAGGATGCTTCTGGTATAAAAGCAGTTACATTTTAGGTCCCATGCCATTTGTATATCTGTACTGAGGAAGCAACTCTAAGGAGATTAAAAGTCACTAAGGCCTAATGAACACAACAGATTTTCGGATTTGTTTGAAGCATAATTGCAACCAAAACTTATTTGTTTTGAATAGTGTTGCAAAGGGTTAAAAAGCCACTGAGAATATTCTCCTCAAATACTGTTCCATTGACAGGGGTTTATATGGCCAAGGCCATATACCCATCATTGGGTAAGGATTTTGGCCGGCATCCCCCTGCCCCTTTGCTTACATTCAGCTGTTGACCGGGAAATCTCCCAGCAGACAGGGGCTGGGCAGTTAGTCACTGGTTGCGAAGAGGCTGCCGGCTGCATAGACGACAACCTCTGAGCATCCAATGGTGCTGCCAGTAAAAGGAGCCTGGTGGGGAACTCTGAGTGACTAGTTCTCCATCAGGGGTGCCACCCTTGTAATTGACAGCAGGCAATGGATGGATTCCATAGCCAATGTAGATCCTGCTGTTGGCTATGCAATCCCCATACTGTCTTCAGTCAATCAGCAGCAGAACAGACCTGATGAAAAACTAGTCCTTCAGCATCCCCATCAATTCCCGGCCACTGTCAGCATCACTAGTTGTTCAGGACCCTCTCAGCTCACTCTGGCCTCAGAACGCCTCCGCACTGCAAATGGTGATGCTTGTGCCAAATAAATGTACCTGTTTCCAACAGGTAAGTGAATCGGGGGCAAGCACCAATATTTATTGTGCACACAGACAATCGGGGACAATATGGGGAATCTGAGGCAAGCAACAACTTGTGCGCATTCTTCTGAGTGACACAGACAGTTTTATAAATTCCATTTTTTTTTGTTGATGTGGTAAGCGAACTTCTGATTAATATTGCTGTGTGTGCCTTTCAGTCCCAGTAACACTGGTATTCCTTATTACTTGTCAAAGGGATAAAAAATGAGGAGAAATATAAATAGAGCTTTCTCTAGCTTCCCTTCTGCAGCATATCGTTTTCTTCAAAGGGACAGTCACTGACAAAGCTGGGTCACTGTTAGAAGGCGGGGGAGGGGGAAGAGTGCTAGAGAGGTCAGCCCTGATCTGATTCACCCCAATAAATTTGCCAAGTTGCAGGATGTTGGGGACATCAGTTCAGGGGGGACACTGCTGGAGCACGAAGCATCCTCTACCCGGAGGGGGAGTGACTGCTCCGGTGAGGACGGGAGCAGGATGGAGGGTCAGGAGAGGCAGATCCTGGTGGTGGGAGATACACTTTGAAGATGAGGATATTTTCTTCAGTTTTCAGTTTCCACCTCTGTAAGGCACGAGGGACAGAGTCCTAAAGACTTTTCCTGACAAGATGGTGTACCATCTGTTCTAAAGTTCAGTGTGTGATTAAGGCCTTGTCATTGGGAATATTGCCTCCACACGCAGCATTATGACTGTGAAGACACAGTGCACATCAGCTTGCTTGAATGTCAAAGAGAAGAAAAGGCTGAGAAAATGCAAACTATAAGTAATTAAACTGTCAGGAACTGATCATGTGTATAGTTGAAGTGAAGGTTTGTTTTACAGCAAAATAGCCAATAAAAATATGACAAGATAGATTTTTGTATTCACTGTAAAATCATTTTCTGAGTCAATTAAGGGGCATAGGAAGTCTTTAACGTTTGGGTTATACTGGAGCCTGCAAGACGATTGGATACTGGCAAACCGAAAACAAAACTGTAGGCTAGCCCAGTATAGCCCCTCCTACTATCTGCATGCCCCAGTTTTGTAGCAGAGCAGTACTGAGTATGATCATAAACAGAGGGGTGGGACCTGTGTCCCTCAATGACCTCAAAAATAGATTTTACAGTGAGTAAAAAATACTATTTTATTCTCGACTGTTGAGGGACACAGAAAGTCTTTAGCCTTCTGGATGTTTAAAAACACAAGTGAGAAGTGGGCAACACAGCAAACAAATAAGAGGCCCAAGAAAATCAACCAAAAACTGGGGACTGCTTTCAGCTCAAAAAGTCGGCATAAAGTGGATGCAAGCCAAATGTTGTACATGCCCAGCTACAGGAAGGCGATGATTCGTTCCCTGGAGAAACTCTTGGCATGGAAGACAAAAGACTCACACCAAGTGAAGTATGCCTTCCATGTCCAATGATTTCCTAGGATTTAAGCATCATAGGAACAACAGACTTTTTCCTATCCCCCAGCCATGCTGTTAAAGCCAGCAACCGTTAAGGAGGATGGGAAATCTGTCCCAAGGACAGAAGATCCTGACAATTTGACAGAGCCCTTCAGTGTCTGCCAGGAGTCTTACCAGGTTAGTGTACCCCATCTGCCTGGCCCAGCCCCAAGCAATGAGGATCACCGGAATGCCCTCTATCTTGATCCTGCGAAGCAGATGAGGAAGACATTTCAGGGGAGGAAAGGCATAAATCAGGATGCCCTGATCCCACAGACCACCACCACTACATCCGCTAGAAGACTCTGTTTCTAAACACAAACCTTTCCAGGATGTTTTTGAAATTGAAGGCCAGGGGGTCTACATCTAGCATCCCCTGCAACACAGGCTCTGAAACATCTCCGGATGGGAATACCCCCCTGGGTCCAGATATAGCCGGTTAAGGAAGTCTGCCTGCCACTTGTCTACACTTAGAATGTACACGGCTAACAAGGCTTGAATGTGAAAGTTCTGCCCAAGACAAGATCCAGTCTACCTCTCTTGAGATTTTTTAAAACTCCATGATGATTATTGTACACCACTCCAAGATGCTGTCCAACTGAATGCAGATCAGATGACCCTCCAGTAGGTTGACCCAAAGCTGCAAAGGCAGACAAATCACCCAAAGTTGAAGGATGTTGATGGAGAGATATGACTTATCCAATGACCAAGTATCCTGCACTGAGAGCGTGCCTAGAACTCCTCCTCCATCTGCTATGAGGATCCTCGATATAGAGGGAAGGAAGGACTTCCCTGACGACTCAAATTGCTTCCTAATCAATGTGTGTGAAAGGAGCTGTCAGATGCAGGAGATTCAGAGAACGTTTCTGCCGTAGGACATTATTAAAGTACCCTCAGCACACAAAAGCATGCTGAGGAACCTTATTATAAATAATACAGCAGCACAGCAGTTAAAAGAAGAGTTATATCTGATTATAGAGGACAGTTGACAAGTTTAGTTGGCATTTTAAAGTTTGGTTTAAATTGATTTAAGCCTGTGGGTAACACAGATAGCTTCCATCTTAAAGTACTCAATATGCATGATTTGTTTCCTGAATAAAAATCATATTTTCCGCAATGTGGCAAATGATTGAAAAAATCTATTGACATTATGCAAAGCATTTTCATAGCCAGCAAATAACCTTATTATATGTCTGTCAATTGCTTTATTTCACACAGTGATTGAGATGCAAAATGTTATCATCAGCAGCATCAGCCACATTATCAGAATCAAAAGCAATTGATTCAGTCTGAGCTACTGTGTGTGTGTGCCATTCTTTGAATGTACAAGGCAAGATGACTGTTGTGGATGGTACTGATGCGTGTAATGACATATAGAACTGCAGGGACTATAATGTACAACCCCTGTAAAATAATGGATAAAATCACAATCACAAAAGCCGCATATAAACTATTAAAATGCTTTCAGGCTACAAAAAGCAAAGCATCTGAGCTGTATGCAAGCTATCAATATGGTTCTCAATCTATAAGTCATGGCCATAAACAGCACAAGATTAATTATTGATTAGGCCACCTAACCACCTAAGAGACCTTTTAATTGTCAAAGAGTAAACATCTACAATTTCTGGACAGTCAGACACATGTTGTCCTCCAGAGCTCTCAAAGACTGTTACACAACAGGGTTAACAATTAAGCAAGCACCTTTGTGAAGGCCTGGTGTGCAAAAGATAGGCCGAATTAAAGGGCCACAAACTGGTAGTGCAAAAGCCCAACAGCGAAATGCAGAAAATGTTGGTGAACTGGAAAGATGGTTACACGTAAGTAAGCATCTTTATTATGCACCAAAGCCAAGGAGTCCCCATGGTGAAGGGAAGCAATGACAGACTTGGTGGATTCCATCCAGGATTTATGGGTTCAAATGTAAACATTCAGGGCCTTGAAGACCAAGATGGGTGAATGCCCCTTTGGGTTTTGTGACAGTGAAAAGATTGGCGTAAAACCCCTGAAACCTTTCTGCAACAGAGACTTGGGCTATGATACCTTTGTCCAAAAGTTTGGAGAGTGTCTGATGCAGATTGGCAAGCCAATGAGAAGAGACAGGAAGGTTTATAGTTATAAAATGAAGAAGGGGCAGGGAAGAAAACTCTTGCCAAAGGGTTCCACAATAAAGCAATTTAGCCAAAGTGCCCTGTACATACGTACCAACAAGAGATCAATGCAAGAAACAACAAGCAGGGAGGCTTCTAAAAAGCAATCACAGCTGAAACTCAACGCTACAGATATCTGTCACTTGAGCTCAATGATCTGAGGGTCAATAGCAACAGCAGTTGAAGGTTCGGGATCCAACCAAACCTTGTTAATATCTGCACTGTCCACATCACATTGACGGTCAGAGTTTGAGCTGACTGTTCTCTCAATAGAAGGTCCTCTAGGTATGCCACAGTGAAAATACCTTGTGAGCGTAGTAGGACTAGCACCGGGGCAAAACGGAGATGCCTACCTTTGGTTTTGGAACTTTGAAAAGTTTGGAGTAAAAAACCTGAAACATTTTGAACAATCAGACATTGTTTGGCAAAACAAAATTACAGCCAAAATGAGTTTGAAGCATGACCCTCCATTGAGATCATAGTTTTGGAACAGACTTCCACCAGCTTAATGGTTGGGAACATTAAGGCAGGAGCATCCCTAATGTGTATGGTAGTCACCATGTTAAGGTGAGACATGGACCGATACACAGTGGGAACAAACCACATATAAACAAAATCCCCAATAAGTAGATATAAAGTCAGCGAGAAAAAGGGCTATCAGGCTGTTTCTAATCTTCGTACATAAATAACTGGAAAACCTCTATAGCAATAGGGGACCTTTCAGACACAAGGCCATAAACAGAAGTGACAGGCTGAACCTCCAGCTTAAGAGTAGTGGATAAACAAAAGCCACTTTTTGTGGCTTTTGTTTATCCAGAGTAGTGGAAAAACAAAAAACAAAAGCCACTTTCAGACTTCCGATGTCCGTCAATGGGCGAGAAAGAAAAGTATATTTCATCTGGATTTATGGTTTAAGCTTTCATAAATTCCTAAAAGTCACAATATAGTTTTTCTATACAACCCCTGTAAACCAATGTAAAGAGAACCAGTATTACCCGATCAATTAGTGCTTCTTCTCCTTTATCTTTTCCCCAGGATACTGTTTATGTATAACATTTACATGGGTATGTAGTCATAGGTCAAGTTGCTGCTAATATTGTGTGGAATAACTGACAGCGTTAATTACATCTCTCCCAATAATTACATTAATTAGTGACTGCAAGGTGCCAGGAGATGTCTGGCGTTTTCTGCTTAGTAACACCTGTCACAGCAGTGACGCTCGCCATTACCTGAGAATTAATATCATCTGCTACTTAGCCGGAATATGGAGAGAAAACAAATCACCCCAGAGAAATGGAAATGAATGAACAAATTAACACAGGAAATGTCAGTCTTCTGTGCCGACAATGGCTTCTAGTTCATCATGCAGTCAGATCCCCAGAGATTAGTGATCAGTTTATTCTACACACGTAAAAGCTCTGTCTGTTACTAAGACAACTTGGTGAAGGGACCCATCACAACCTGTAAAGCCACAAGTAACCCATTCTGTTCTGATCTAATTTATGAATAATGGCTATTAGGTCAAAAGAAAGATGAAGTAGATAGCCCGAGATTGTGCTTTATTACTGTCTCCTGCTAAGCCAACAGAGGTCTGGCACCATCCCTTTGAGGCTATTGTACTTTCCTAGATCTTCTCTCTAATAGTCATGCTTTACTCACTCTTCTCACAAAACCCCAATACCAAGCTCTTTTTAAGGTACTTTATCACTGATCCACAATAATTTCATTCTCTGCTGGTCCACAATCCTTATTTCCTCTGTCAAACCATACTTATAACATTCTTTATCCTCACATAATCTCTTAATCTTCTATTTATTTAACTGCCTGTGATCACTTCATCCTTGCTCTATCTACCTAGCTCAAATGGTTTCACTGTGAAATGTTAGCCTCTCTCCTCTCTATCAATGCCTATATTATTAGTAACTCTATCTCCTCTCAATTCATCTGTCCACAGTTCCATCATCCTTCTATATATCCCTAATGTTCACAGTCCCCTTCTCCATCCATCATCTATCTATCTATCTATCTATCCCTAATGTTCACAGTTTCCTCCTCCCTCTATATATCCCTAATGTTCACAGTCCCCTTCTCCAATCTGTCTGTCTGTCTCTACTTTTCACAGTTCCCTCCTGCCTCTATATATCCCTCATATTCACAGTCCCCTCCTCCCCTCATCTTGCTATCCAGCCCTCCTGTCAGCAGTTCCCCCATTCCACTACAATGTGCTTACCTCTCCATCCACGCATCTACAATCCCTTTACCCCTCTATAATTCGCTCATCCCTCAAATCAACCCCAATTCCCTAACCTTTCCATCCACCTGTCCACAATGTATTCCTCCTGTTTTGTCCCCTCATACCTCTAGCCATCCATTCACAATCCACTCTCCTTTCCACCTGTTTACAATCCTTTCTTCCCTTCACAATCCCCAGACACCTCTATTCAGCAACCTGTCCACAGTCCCCTAATCCCTAAATACATCCACCTATTCATTGTCCCCTCATTTTTCCATCCATTCTAAAGTTCGATCATCACCTCATCCATCCACCTATCTATAGCTCCCTCATTTCTCTCCTCATCCTTCCATCTATTCACCTATCCACAGTCCCCTCATCCCCCCATTCATTTACCTATTCATAGGTCCCTCATCCCTCCATCCATCATTGTGCCCATGGCGAATGTACCAGTTCCCCTATCCATAGTTCTCTCATCCCTCCAACCATTTATCTATCCAGAGTTCTCTCATTCTTCTATCTGCTTACCCATCCACTTTTCCCTCATCCCCCCCATCTATTCATCCATCCAGAGTTCCCTGATCTAGTCCTCCATCCACCCTCTCCTCATCCCTTTATCCATTAACCTATCCATCTTCCCCTCATCTATTCACCCAACCAGATTTCCCTGATCTATTCTTCCATCTACAGTCCCCTCATCCCTTTATCCATTCACCCATCTACAGCCCCCTCCTCCTTCCATACATTCATCTATACAAACTTACATCATGCCTCCATTCATTCACCCTTAAGCTACCTACCTGTCTACAATCACTTTACATCTACCCGTATTTAGTTTACCCCCTGTGTATGCCATGTAAACACCATATATTTGCTCTCTATTCATCAGTGAACAAACACTGCATCCTCTCCATTTATAAACCCAATTACAACATGCTATATCCACCCACATCTGACTATCCAATAATCAGCTCATGCTTTCCTTATCTTCTCTCTACTCAACTTGTGTTAGGAAATCTCTACTTTTTTACAAACATCAATTTCTAAAATGTATCATCTGACACCAGAATGTGGAGCTAGACACTTGTAGAAATGATGGTTGGTCACATTAAACCAGAAAAGTGAACTTTTTGTTGAACCATACCTGTTTTTCGTGTACAAGTTTCTCCTGGAAGAGTTTGATCCTGGTCTTCCTCTCATTCTCTGCCTTCTCCAGCTCTGCAGACAGATTCTGCCGTAGCTCATGCTTTAGAATTTCACACTCTCCTAATGTCAAGCTAGCAATTTCAGGAAGTGTCTGGAACAACAACCTTTTCACCAGCTTTTCAAATGTCTGGGAGGCCCCTGTATACAATTCCTTGAGGGAGGGAGGGGAAACAGATACCTTACATAAAATAAGCCAAAACATCATAATCGTGATATACAAGTATAAGCAATTTCAACTACAGTACAAACATGGGCAAAGTGCCACTAACCTGAACTACAGACACCCCAACCTGAAAAAAATCATTTCAGGGAGGTGCCCTCTTCCTCACAGAGGGCAATTCCATGAAATGAGGGCAGATAGCAGAGGAGCTAATGTTTCCCCTGCTATCTGCTGTTTTTTTAAAAACTTTAGGTCTAGCTCTGCTGATTGACAGCAGCAGTGGGTGGGTGCAAGCCTGCTATTGGCTATTGCAAACTGAAATAGCCAATAGCAGCCTAGCTATTCATTCCCATGCTGTCTGTTGTTTTTTTTCTTTTACTTTGCGTTCGGTGCCGTTATCAAAATAAAAACAAAAATCAGATAGCAGGGGATCCCGGAAAGGTTTACTCTGCTATTGAGAACAGAGTAAACCTTTCCCGGGATAAAATGTTTCCATACCAGGTGTCAGAGAGCCGCTATCTTATTGCAGGAGACTGCCGGAACGTCTGGGAGAGTTGGAATGTAATCCCTCCTCATTCCAGCCAGCAAATTTAGATAGGTATCAGCTCAACATAAAGATAGAAATAAACAAGAGTGTGATTTCTTGAAACTATATATCTATGCCTCTTTTGGAAGGGTTAGTTCTTTATCAGGTTTATTGCTGTATGCGTGCCCGATGGGATGGTTCACAACCTCTCTATTGATCTTGGGGAAAAAGAGTGATAAGAAGTAAAATTTTAGATAGATTTAGTGAAAACTGAAAAACAGGGATTTCTCTTATTTTGGAGAGATTTCCTCTCAATTACTGTTGGGTCTCCAGGACAGGAAATAAAGGGAACACTCCCCCGCCGAAAAAATGAATAAATAAATACCAAACCCTAACAGAATCATCTAACATGATCTTTAAATAAACAATGCACAGCGATAGCTTTTCACTTTGCAACTGTCTTAAAACTGTGTATTGAGTCGTTATATCCAGGTGGTGACTTTTTTGGGGGGCCAGGCAGTGTACTGTATGCTCCTTTGCAATATTTCATATTTACCTAAAAAATATAATCATAACACTATGGGATTGGTTGATAACCGGTCTGCACAGCAAACGAGATTTGCAGTCAAGTCGCAATTTATAATACCTTGCAGAGCTCAGCAACAGCATCAATGACTTTGCAGTCCTCTTCATCTTCCAGTTCTGCAAACAGCTCTCTCTGTGTCTCCAGCAGTTTGTGGTACTCCTGGAGAGACCACAAGGAACAGTCATCACTACTTATGGTGCTATTTGTAAAAATATCACATGAGGTTTTCAGCCGGTTACCTTGAGAAATCTATCGGCGTCAGCAGACCCCTCTACCCTTTCCAGGAAACGAAGGCGCTCCTCTGCCTGGGTTTTGTGAAGGATCTCTGCGAGTTTACTGCGGTGCCCCAAGTGTTCGGTTATTAGAGCTTTAGTCTGATGAAGGCAATCTAAAAAAACAAAAGATTAAACATTAACATCTTCATCAACCAACTTAATTTCCTGTATCGGCAACCACATTCAATCTCAAGGCCTAACTTTCCAGTTTTCGCTGGGGTGTACCTTTGAAGCAGAAATTCAGCCAAAATTAACAAGATAAAAATAAACATCCCATTAAAGATTCAATACAAAACCAGTTTTTGCTGCAATATTTACCTTTAATCCAGAAATTTCCCCTGAACTACTTTTTTCTGCCACCAGATGTCCTCAATTCGATGGCCAGTATCATTCAACCCAGTTCCTCTGAGCTCAGGTCACCCTGCTCCTGCCCCCAGCCTGTGACTGGACAGTCAGTGAAAGAAGAAGCAGCATAGTGATGAGCTCATCTCTGTCACTCTCCTTTCTTTTCCATTTATCATCACATAAACTGATTGACCCCTTGTGCTGCTGCCTTCTCTCGCATTCCAGCCCTGCTGTAATGGCTTTACAAGAGGCTGATACCAGGTCACATTCAGGTACTTACATTGCTTGCATTTAAAAATACTTTCAATGATTAATGAATACAGAGCTGCAATAATTTGTGTCTTTTATCTCTGCCTAGAGTTCATCTTTAACCATAAAGACATCATATTTTATGAACCTACCCCATGGTTCTTCTAGAAGTTTCCAAATACTCAAATCAATATCAAGTTTTGCTGCTCCACAGTTACAGGATGCAATCATGACAGGGGAATATATATAGAGTCAGATAAGGGAACAAAGGGAAACCTTGTGATTTACTAAAGGGTGTCAATACAATCAAATGTGGCAGCCTATGAAAAATCTTATTACCTGGACTGATTATGTTAGGAGAGATTTTTTGCCACTTCTTACTGAAAACCCCTAACTTCTGCAGCCCTAGCAATAACAAAAATCAAATACTTTAAATCAAGCACATGAGCACGGACTTGGGGCTTGATTTACTAAAATACAAAGCGAGGTTACCTAAACCTGTGCTCATTTCAAACATCCAATCATACAAACAACAGGTTCTATGTTTCTAAATTCCCTTGTGCGTGATCGGATGTTTTGTAGGTGCATTTCACATCTTAGTAAATCAGGCCCTTGGTGTCTTAATTAAACGTAAACACCAGCTTATTGTTTTTAATTAATAGAAAAAAAGAACAGAACTACCACTTTGAATATGTGGTTGAAGTGGAGCTATAATGGTTTCACCATTGGGTTCAGTTTTATTTTAGCTGTTTAATTAGATCTAAACTCATTCCCTTAAAGTGACATTAAACTAGATTAGACTACTACATATTTCTTTTAAGCTAATGCATATGTCAGGAGACATAGTATAAGATAAAATAAACACTATGGGGTTGATTTATGAACAATGTGCCCTGCGAATATCTGTAAAGGTTCATTATGTGTGAATATATGCACATTCTTTAGTTTTTTTCCTTTACAAGTGTCATTAAATGTCCTCATTGTAATTTATTTACTACAGGTATTTATATTGCGCCGACAAATTACACAGCGCTTTTACAGTCCCTGCCCTCAAGGAGCTTACAATCTAAGGTCCCTATTCCTATCACATGTATCACAATACATACAGGGCCAATTTAGACAGGAGCCAGTTTATCTTCCAGCATGTCTTTGGAGTGTGGGAGGAAACCGGAGTACCTGAAGGAAACCCACACGAGCACAGGGAGAACGTGCAAACTCCTTGCAGATATGTCTGTGAAGTTTCTCATTCATCCAGATCATGGTATCTCTGTAAAAAATAAGTCAAGGCAACTGGACTGTATTTTTCTTTAAGACGTTTCACTGGACACCCGACCAGCTTTCTCAATTCAGAATGGCTTGTAGAAAAATTATCTTGGAATAAATATGGTGAATGTTGCTCTAATCCACCTAATCTGTTAATCACAACCAGGTGTTGATTGCATTTGCATAATTGGAGCTAGTAGGTGTTATTAACCTGCCCAGAGAGGTGTTAAAACAGCATTATATGTGGCAGACAAAAGATGTCTCACCCCCCCCACTCCCCCACCTCTAATTAAGCTTGTCTTCTCCATTTTTACATAAATGGCCTCTTTCACACCAGTCCTCCTCCCTGTCTAGGATGCGTACTTGACTGTCTTCAAAGTAGTAAACTAACAGATTATGTGGATTGGAGCAGCATTCACTGTATTTATTCCCAGAAGATTTTTCTACATTCATTCTGAATTAAGAAAGCTGGTTGGATGACCAGTGAAACGTCTTCAAGAAAAATACAGCAAGTCCAGTTGCCTTGACTTATTTTTTACAGATATCCTTGCAGATAGTGACCTGGCCAGGATTCGAACCAGGGACCCCATGTGCTGCAAGGCAGAAGCGCTAACCACTTTGTCACTGTGCTGACCATATCGTATCATTGTAACATCACATTATGGCATCACGGAGCTCAGGAGCATAGAAAATACAGATTTCCAAGGCTCCTTTAGCATTATTTAGTGGTCATAATGCGATATTACAATCAGAACATTTGAATTTAATTACACTTGTAAAGGAAAAAAGAACGACCATTTGGGTATATATTCACACAGGACAAACTTTCACAGATATTCCAAGGGTGAACGGCCCAGATTTGTATTATTCTCATCATTCTTGGATCTATTCACTGTTACTCTTCTATAAACACAAAGCAGCCATACTGGGTTATTTCTAGTGTGTAAGACAGCGATGTACTGTACATAAATTGCAGTAACACATACAGTAGGTAGATATACAATAAAGTGTCATGCTTGACAAGCCTCCCATTATTTAATTACCTTTACCCCTATGTCATGTCTAGTTCCCCAACACCAATATTTTTCTTACACTGCTTTCATGGCCCTCTGATTTCTAAAATGACATTAATACCTTAATTCCTCAGCTGTGACATCATACAAGGTCTGCTTTAGTGTCTGCAATATCCGCCTTTCACAATTTGGCTCAGTGTGATTTTACATGTGCTCGAGATGAATAGAAAATATTGCCCTAATCTCCTGAACCATTGATATGCCTGTTACAAGGTATTACCATTCACACTGTAAAAGCGGTGTTAGAATTTCATATAAAGCAGCGCAGGCTCCGGAATGAAATACAGATTTCAAGATACCTCTGGGGAGATAGCGATCGGATTAACGCAGTGAACCTTAACAAAATCTCAATGAAACGGCAGGTGACGACTATTCATGGTGTGCAGAGAAACAGCAGTTGCATAGAACGGCTGGTTTTTCAGGTCTTGGCAATATAGCTTACTAGATGTTATATATAATCCTTCGTTTTCCCTCCCCAAAAGAAGTGGAACAAATTGAAATATATATTTGAGCAATGTAGGTTTTTTATTTCTGTTTTTTTCATTTTGTTGTAAAGAAAAGTATATTTTCAGTTCCATTCATGCCGTCACAGCTGCTGACTCCAAATGCCGGGAGAGGACTGAATGGAGCCGAATAGAGCTACCCATGATAATAGCGGCCGGTTTGAACTATAAAAGACACTGTGACAGGGAGAAGAAGCTAGTGGTGCAATAAAGTGTGCGTCTACCCATCACAGAGTTGTCAATACACCACAGCTGAGCTGTCATAGCTTACGTCAAGATGCGCATTGCTGCCAGCTGGGAACACAAGTAAACTAATAAAGTCTTTTTATTTTTTTTAAACCACACCTGTACTTTAGTAATAACGCAGGCTGTGTGGCAGTCACTGTACTTTCATCTTGCCACTGATTAGGATTTTAAAGGGCCATTGCACCCAAAAGTGATAGGTGGAGACTTGAGAATTAGCCTTGGATTACTTCTTGGATACTCTAACAACAAGACCTCATTGCGATAATTCTTGACTCTTGTTTCTGTCTACCTTGGAGTTTTGGGGTGTTCCCAGCAATCACTTGGAAAAGTGGGACTCCCTCATATTGACCACAACAGGTGTGCAGACCCAGGAACTTAGTTTTAAAGAGCCATTGTACCCAGAATTGATAGTTTAGTGATAGGTGGAGTCTTGTGAGTCAGCCATGGGATTCTTCTTGGATACTACTACAGCAAAATCTCATTGCCATAATTCTTGTCTCTGTTCCTGTCCACCCTGTAGTTGTGGGTGTTCCCGTCCATCTCTTGGAAGAGCGGGATCCCTCATAATGACCGCAACAGGTGTGCAGAACCCAGGAAGCTACAGATCTCACCGACAGGGTCCCCAAAAGATATAAGGATCTGTCAGATGGTTTAAGACTCAACACCAGGCACAGGAAGTTTTTTTTTCCCCCACCTTCATGACGGAGCTTGTTTTTAGTTTCTGTTCGTAAATGACTGACACACTTTTGACATTTTTGCTGTGTGATTCTTCCACGTCAGTAATATACTTTCTTACAAAGTGCACCCACACATATTATATATTGTTTTTTAGAGGACAGATAGGGCTACATATTTATATCACATATGACGCCTCATTTAGGACAAATAAAATATAAAAAAAGGAGGAAAAAACGTAAAAAAAAACAAACACTTTTTCCCAGTTTTGATTTGTAGTATTTTTTTGTACAAAACCAGCTAAAAAATGCAATAAATACATTCATTTATTTGTCCCTTATTTTTATTTTTTTTACACTTATTTTTTTTCTTACACTTTTCACTATTTTTTTTAACTTAAAAATGTTATTTTATTTAATTATATCAAGCAGTCATTGTGAATTAATCTCACTATTACTGCTTGATAAATTAATACATTTTTGATTATTATCAGGCTGCTTCCAACTTCTGAACAGCCGATAATAAGTTAGTGACGCTGATCCTGCAGTAGTTCAGGATTCAGCTGTCACTAGTTTTCCGATTGTTACAACGACCATCAGAAAACTGAAACATTCTTATTTCAGGAATAGATACATTATGTATCTATTCCTGAAAGTGAAGGGGAAAAAAACATACCGGCTCTGCTTTGACTCTCAGACACCCGATCTTCAGGTATCGGGTGTCTGAAAAAGGTTATCCCTTTCATTAAAGGAGAACTAT